TTCCTTGCTGGAAGAGTTGTTAAATGCCCTATGAAACATGTTTCGAATAATGTTATGCTTAGTACTTAGTACTTAGTACTTAGTACTATGTTATGTTAAGTGCGAAAGACCTGCCGAAATAATGGGCTCCGAAAGACCTGCCGAATCGAATGATGTGCGACATGATCTCCTTTGCTTAACCCGCGCCCCGCTGGGCTATTCAGCCATACGCGCCCTGCTGGGGGGGGGCAGATTCTGCCCCCCCCCCTGTCTAACTTCTGAAGCAATGGTCGTAGAAAGACGGGGAAAGCGGCAATCGAAAGCTCTCAACAAGGCGGATCTTAAGAGCCCAAAATTTTTGTTTAAGTAGGTCAGAGGTCAGGTCAAGGTCAGGTCAAGGGTACAAAATGCAAGTTTCTACAGTATCGGCCTTGCACCGTAGTTGCCGAAGAATGGACTGAGACTGATTGCCCAAAACGTGTTCTTAGACTACCAAGACAATATTTGTTGCATACAATGTCATTCAAAGGTCAAGGTCAAGGTCAGGTCAGGTCAGGTCAGGTCACCAAAAACAAAATATAGAAAAGGGCATGTGCGACACATGTTTTATGGGTCATTTTACTCATAGAATTCAATAGGCAAACTCAATAAGTGATATGGACCACCTCCGGATGAATTTCAGGTCGAGGTCAGGTCAAGGTCAGGTCAAGTGAGGTCAAATTTTGAAGTTGGTTGTTAAGGCCTAAAAAGGTGTCTATCTGATGCAGTTTTTCATGGCGAATCGAATGGTGCTATTTTGTTTCCGTATGAGGTCTAAAACTTCCAAAAATCATTTTTCATTTTTTTTGTGTCGTGACGTCATAAAATTTTGAATAACTCCCACATTTTTGAACCGATTCTTCTAAAAATTGGTATGTAGGTGCACATAGACCACTTCTCTGACATATGTTCCGGTTTTTTGATATACTCAAAATTTCGGATTTTATCATTATTTTCCCCAAAAAGTCAGTTTTTGGAAAAAATTGGGGCCAAAATTCAAAATTTTCAAACAACCGAGATAGCCATTTGATAAACAAAGTAGAATCACGTATAACCTTTTTTGTTACGTCTTGATTTCTTTAAAAATGAAGATATTAGCGGCGTTTGAAATTTTGCCGTTTTTGAGGCGAAAATCGCGAACATGACGTCACTAAAACGTCAATTTCTCAAAAATTTTCCGACGGATTTCGCTCAAATTTTCAAGAAGCGTGTCAAATTGATGTATGATAAGGTAGGGGAGAGTGGGGCAAAGCGGCCACCCGGGACAAGGCGGCCACCCATCGTTTTAGCCCTTCATAGCTGGCGTCAGTTCCAATTTATGGTTTCCAATTATACTTCTCTTCACGGTCGTTCGAATGAGCCAGACCGGGGTTTCAGGCCCATCACCATTGTTCTGTGAAACACGGAAAAGCATTTCTTGCCAGGTTACCAACTATGTTTACAATTTTTAAATGTTATGTTATTCCATAACCGTTTGGAATTTTTATAAGCGTTCTTGCCCATGCATTGCATGGTTATCGTACAGGTATTCTACCAATTTTAATGTTTTTTACCCCACTAATAGCTAAGCTGGAATATAGTTGTCTCGGACGGTATGCGCGGGGCAAAGTGGCCGGGGCAAAGTGGCTTGCCTTCAATTGGCCATAAGTTGCTTCAATCTGGATAAAAACATTATTTATATTCAAATGTGTCGTCATGCATTCATCTTGGCCACTTTTCAGTTGCATGAGTTACCAAATAATGCAATTAAATGTTTATTTTCATGAAAATCCTTTCTTTGTTTACCTACAGGTGGAAGATGATAAAGTAAAAATCCATCCTCGCTTAACCTTGTCACCATCAAATACCCTAGTCGTACACGAGGCAACTATTTTGTTTCTCATATCGGGACTTGAGAAGACGCCGGTGGCCGCTTTGCCCCAGGGTATGGGGCAAAGTGGCCAATATGCATAGGTTTAACCCTCGCCCGCACATGGGGGGGGGGGTGGTTGCCACCCCCCCCAGGCAGTCTTTCTGCTCTGCACTCAACATTTTTAGAGCTAGAAGGCTGATTTTTCGTATAGCTGCTCGTCTATCCATTCTTGATGTCCACTGAAAATTTCAAGTTTCTGTGATTTTTGGTTTCGGAGATATGACCTTGTTTTTCAGGTCATGTCATGACCCAAATGGCCAATTCTCAACATCTTGCGTTTGCCATGGGCCTTGTGAGCTTTTGACACCCTGATTTCGGCCTTTTTTGCCAGTCTTACCTCCCACCTATCATGGAACATGTTGTTCGACGATGTACAGGGGTCAAGGTCAGGGTCAAGGTCAACCTAGGTCATCTAAGATAATTGCGTTTTAGGCAAGCTGAATTTACTTTTTGTGAAGTTTTTTGACTGCATTTTTGGTAAAAGCTTCTCAGATCATGATTTCATGTGATATGGACCCAAAAACAATCGGTGCACACATCAGTATACACACAGACACACACAGACATACAAACACATATAATTGACCTTGACCTAACTTGACCTGAAATGACCTCAGCAGCAAAATTCTGGTCGGATAGTGTGACAAAGAGGTTCTAGCTGGCTTGGCACCAGAAAACAGCATCGTCATCGGTATTTGATAAGCAGCGCACTTGATATCCAACGGTGACCCAAAACAGCAACATTTTTTAATTTGACCTGACCTGGAAGGTCAATGACTGACCTGAGAAGGTAAAACTGGGTATCATTGGATTCGTCTCTTCCCAAAGAATCTTTTTGGTCTTTACTGCTAAGCTCTATCTCCAACAGGAACGAAATGGCGCGGGGGGTGGCAACCACCCCCCCCCCCCATGTGCGTTCTAGGATGGGAAAATGGCATGTGCGGGCGAGGGTTAAAGTTTTGTCAATATCTTTCATATGTGAGCGCCTTTGGAAATAAAACGCATTTGAAATAAAAGCCAACTTAATAGGGATCACATTGGTATATAGAAAGAATCTTTCCAAGTTTAAAAATCAAGCGTTGACATCGTGAGAAGCGTTAGGGTGGCCGCTTTGCCCCACTCTCCCCTACTGAGAGTTTGACGTCGCTGGCGTAACGCGTTTAGAAGTTATTGGCGAAAAACGGGAGGGGGGGGGCAGATTCTGCCCCCCCCCCAGCGGGGCGCGGGTTAACGTCGTGACCTTGGCTTTCTGATCTGATTTTGACCCGAGGTCAATGTCTTAACCCTCGCCCGTAAAGGGGGGAGGGTCGAACGGACCCCCTTCGGTTTTGCGCGAATAACTCGCGTGAAAAGCGGCCGATCGCAACGAAACTTTCAGTGCCCTCGAGTTGATGAATTTTACACCTACCCTAAAAATTTCATGACCCTGACTCAAATGACCTTTGACCTGTGACCTACTTTTCGAGACCATGTTAAGCCGGAATCGCGATTCGGCGTATGTCGGCTCGCATTAGCCGCGCGTTTGCAGTCTTTTTGTGGTTTCAAGCGTTCAAACATGTGATATGCTGTTGCCCCCATGCATTAGGGTGGGTGTCAAGGTCACCTGAAGGTGCCTCCTTCGACGGCACAAAGGGGGACTGATATGACCCCCGCCGCGTTTGGACCCTGATCAAGCTAGAGTTTCGCAGAAAAACGAGCGTGTTGCCCGACGCCCGCGACGAGAGAAAGCCGAAGGTACCAAATTTTAAGGTCTTAGGTCATTGGTTGACCTTCCAGGTCAGGTCAATGACCCAAAAGTCGGGAAAATCGGGACCTGTTAGAACGTCGTAAAGTGTGGCTGTCATGGGGCTTTCGGGGTGTTGAACACGAATATCATGTAAGTTTTGATCACAGATGATGTCTTTATGCATTTAGGCCAGGTCGGGTCAGAGGTCAGGTCAACCAGCATTCGTATTCGTCGCCACCGGGTATTCGTAATACGTATCAACCGTCTCCGAAAGCTTTGCAACATGTTACGAAGGCACCAAAACTATGTACTTCGTAAATCTTCAAATGGTTGCTAAATTCGAATTCAGCTCCAAAAACTAGCCTAGAAACATGTGAAACTCGAAAAAGTGGACCGAGGTCATCAAAGGTCAATGACCTGACCTGACCTTCAGGTGACCTTGACACTCACCCTAATGCATGGGAGCAACATCATATCACATGTTTGAACGCTTGAAACCAGAGTATATGCTTGAAACCACGAAAAGACTGCAAACGAGCGGATAATGTGAGCTGACATACGCCGAATCGCGATTCCGGCCAAACATGGTCTCAAAAAGTATGTCACAGGTCAAAGGTCATTTGGGTCAGGGTCATGCAATGTTCAGGGTAGGTGTAAAATTGATCAACGCGAGGGTACTGAAAGCTTCGTCGCGATCGGCCGCTTTTGACGCGAGTTATTCGCGAAAAAACCTTAGGGGATTGCATCAACCATTTGATGCAATTATTTAGCCCTGCCGGCGAGGGCTAATGGAAAATACATAATGTCTGATAATTTAAAAAATCAGATATATAAAGAACTAGTACACCCTAGCTGATAACTACTAAAAACACGATGAACCGAATTTGACCAAATCTGCACCAAAATTGCACCTAATATGCACGAAATGTGTACCAGATATGAGCTAGCCGTCGTGAAAACGGCTACTGGCTACCTACTTAAAATGTACCTAATATGCACCGAGGGGCTATAATCATATGATCAACCTGACCTGACCTGACCCAGCCTACCTCAGATGCGCAAATACAGCACTTTGAAACAAAAGGAAGGCATCATTTGAAATCAAACTCCAAAATACCCGAGAAAAAAAACCTTGGAAGAGCGCCTGACACGTCCGATTTTTTTCCCGGGTTCCGGTCATTGACCTGACCTGAAAATCCCCTCCCTCAGCTGTTAGCTACTGCAAAAAGTAGGATACGGGCGAGGAACATGCGTGCTTGGCAGCGGTCCAACCGGCAGGATATGCGTAAAACGCACCAACAAATTCCGTGAGCGTAATATGGAGCCGACGTTCGCGTAGGCGCCCTGTACAGTCGCCGGTGTCGATAGCAGCTTCATGAGCCGACTACGCGAAACGTTGCGCCGATTTAGAGCGCGCCCAAGGCCGGGGCGGCAATCGTGCGTTGGCGAGCGGCCGCCGCTTGATAAGCGGCGCGCTGTGCGGCTGCGCGGCCGTCGGTCGGAGGGTCTCGGCCGAGCAGGCGCTCCGTCGGTGTCCGCACATCCCGGCCGCAGCACGCGCGCCCTGCACCGCTCAGGTAAGACCGGACCGCGGCCTGCCCCGGGCCCGGCGAGCTCTGTTGTGGTCCGCAGAGTGAGCAGTGTGTCAGTGTGGCCCGGCTGAGTGGCGGTACTGGGCTGGATTCGTCTCGTTGCGGTAGGGCAGTTCTGTGTTGAGCGCTAGGTGTCCGCCATTGCACGTGGATCGATAACATTGGATCTCGTTGGCTGATGCGCCCAGGCACGGCTAATGTTCTTTTTTTGTGAATCTTCTGATCGTGCAGCTACTGAATGAATGACAATTTTACAGCTGGTTGCGTCAAAAGCATTGTGAGGTGTGTCCACTGTCCAGCACTTTCCTCCTAGCGTGACGGTACGTTGTTTCCTTCGTCGCATAGACTGCTTCCCCGTGTGTGTGGTGTGCAACTTAAAACTGTAGCTAAATTGTTAAGATGAAATGTTAGCTTAATGGTGAGATGGAGGTTCGTAAACCCATACAGTTCCTTTGATTGATTCTACGATTTTTCCTCTTGACATTCCATTAAGTTTTAGAATGGTACGTCATGTATGACAAAATCTAATCTTCATTCGTGGTATAGGTACTTATTTTATTCATGAATAACAGCATTGCCATTGACAAGTATTGTCAACTGTCTAATGCATTGACATCCATTTATTAAGAAAAGTCGAACTCTGCATGCAGTTATGTAAAAATTTAACGTCACTTGGGTATCGGCGTCGCTTGCATCCTTTTTCCGTTTACATGACATAGTCCAAATTATTGTTTTTCGTAAGACTGAGTAAGCCCATTTGAATAATTGATCCTGCATTTGACCTTTTATTACGAGCGAGCGAGCGCAGCGAGCGAAGCGAGTCTTTTCAATATAACGGGAAAATCTCAGTATGAGCGGCCCGGCCCGGCCTGTAACGCTTTTGAGAGGCTTATATCTCAGCAACCGCTGGACCGATTGGCCTGCGGTCTTTTTTGCTGGGTAGCCCCATCCCTTCTACCCCGTAATTGACTACTTTTGATACATCTCAGTGACCGTCGTGGCACGTGCCACGTGAAAAGTTAAGGGTGTTCAAGCTGTTTTGCAAAAGTAGTGATTTTGAGAGGCTCATATCCCAGCAGCCGCTTGGGCGATTGACTTGCGGTAATTTTTATAGGATAGCTGCATCCTTTCTACCAAAAATAGGATACTTTCGATGCATGTGGGTCACCCCCAGTGCGCGTGCAAAATACAACAATAAGAGGTGTCAAATTTGTTCCCATTTTAAAAACTCGGTTATTACTGGGGCGATTTCGCTGAAACTTGGCATACAGATAGGCACCCACCAGGCAATACATTCCCATGTGTTGCGGTTAAGGTGCTACTGCACGTGCGCACGTGCAGGGGGCGCTTCCAGATCTCAAAAACGGCTGGGCCGATTGCGCTCAAATTTGGTACACGGTTGGAGACCGGGGCGTAGGGTGCCGTGCAAAAGTCAGTTTGGACCCCGTTTGCACGTGCGCACGTGCAGAATGCCGCTTCCAGATCTCAGGAACGGCTGGGCCGATTGCGTTCAAATTTGGTACACCGCTAGCGACCGGTTAGAAGGGTGCTTTGCGCAAGCCCGTTGAAAGTACCCTCTCGCCCTTCCGCACGTGCAGGGCTCACTATCTCGCTCGCTCGTTCTTCGCCCAAAAGGCGTTTTACTGGTTAATTAAAACTTTCAATAAATGTCATGATAGATATCGTTTTATTCACCAAATATTCGTGACATGCTTCATTGGTATTACTTTGCTTTCGTATTTTTCGGTGAAGCGGCGCTACCTAGCCATCTACCTTCTACAATCCGCATTCAGTTGTTAAAAAGTTGCATTTTATTCACTAAACTGTTTTCAAAGCATCGATAGATTGCGAGAGCGCTATTATAAAGATAATACGCTATTACGCTAACCTCAAGTAGGTAAATGAAATTACATACTGAAAGACATAACGGAAAGTATTCGTCAGGTGTGACGCGCATGTTACAAAGCGACAAATAGAACGATTATGCGTTGAAAAGAAGCCTTTTTATCACTATATTTTCAAATCTGGTCTTCATACTGCTAATATGCGCATCCAATTAATATCCCACTCAAGATGCCTTACGTAACCTAAATTGATATCTATGGTAGGGGTGCGATTCTGAAAATCTCCCGGATTTACGACCTCTGACTTTCAAACAACCCGATTGGTGCAAATGGGGGGAAATGGGGACGGGCCCGAGGCAGCATCAAGGATGGATGAAGGGATGTGGCAAAGCATTGGTTATACGCTTGGTTTTCGTGTCAATTAATATTGACAAAACCTTTTCATTTCAAACCAGCATTCTTCTCACTTCGATTCAGGGTTCTTCTTTCTTCAAAGCAGGGCATTCTATGGACTTCTTGATTTGGTTGACTCCCTGGTCCCTGTCCCTGTAATTCCAAAATAATTATCAATCTGATATGTTATTGGCAGCGAAGTGGCGAGGGAGCACTGGACCCTCGGTCTCTATTCCAATGTTCAACTGGTGTTGCTGTGTAACTTTTTTCTTTGAGCTGACTATTTGGCCATCGCGATCTGATGAAGACGACGCGCCCTGCTGATGTCAGTGGCGACACCAGCGGTCAAAGTCTCATCGCTGAGGTCAAGGGGTGTTGCACCGTCAGAGGAAGTCCGGCCGATGAGTCCACACTCCGCATTTTGACGCAACGAGCGATTTCTGCGTTCTTTCCAGTGATTCACATGACAATGATAGGAGGCTAACTATTAATAACTCGTGATGATAGTGACATTACTAAATAGAAACCGAGGATGTATTGCAACAAGTAGCCTTTCATGATGTTCGTGATCTCTTTAGGCAGCTTAGTGTTTAATGCAACCATTTCTGGGCAGGGGCTAGTCTGGCGCGTGACTCTAATCTTCTGCATGATCTGGTGAGATAAGCGCCCTGATACGATTAAGGTTAATAATCTGACCGCGGACTGCTGGGCCACCCGGGAGGAAGGAGGAAGCGGCCACTCCTTTCGAGCGGACAAAACGCTTGTCAGGCCGGACGCTCCCCAGCCGGCCCAGTTTTTCATGGTACGAGCTGTCAGACTAAGCTGCAGAGTCGAGCGCCGCTCGGTAGCACGCTTTGTCATTCATTGAGCCGGTCTAACAGGGTGACCGAGACCAAAACATCTGTCATAACAGCCAGACTGTAAAACTCCTCTCTGTTTTCAAGGAGTGTCACCGAACTTCGCTGCCGGGTGCAGCTGATGACGCATCCTATTGTTGACACTGCAGAGTACTGCTCGGGTGCTGCTCTAGCACCATTTGGACATGTTTACTGTCTGCCTCGGCTGGTGTCGTCTGTCATTACTCGTCTGTCTGTCTGTCTGTCTGTCTGTCTGTCTGTCTGTCTGTCTGTCTGGTGAATGGCCGCTGTCCTGTGCCGGAACAGAGTTGGGCCGCGAGTCCGACCGACCCGACCCGGGTGAAACCCAGTCTTGCGCCGACCGACGGAGGAGGGGGGGCGCCGGAGGGGGAGGGGAGTATCGATTTTGTGACGCCGGGTCTGTCTGATGGCGCCAGCTGACACCGGCGCGCGGCCCGTCCGGGTCAGCGCGGGGCCGGAGCGCACCCCGCGTGCGCCTGACCTCATCCTCAGGTCAGTGGCAGGTGCGGCCGAGGTCACAGGGCACTCTGGCCGGTCACGGCACAGCGGAGCACGCGCGCACCCAGCGCCCCGCCTCCTACAATGGAAACTCTGTTTACAGTAGCCGAGTATACTGTTTACGGTACACAAAAGGGCGCAGTTTGCCCTGTTCACGGCTCGGCACTGCCTTGTGGTCAGGTCACGCGTACTCGGCTCGGGTGGCCGGCGCTCAGCTGCCAAACCCAGGCACATGGTGTCTTATTTCACTCCTGTAACACGAGCCGCCTCACCCTAATCAATCAATCTCCCTTTTCACTTCCGGTATTAGACGAAGCCCCATAATCAATCACCGATCAGTTTGTAGCGGTGAAACGCTTCTGTGGTGGTTCTTACCGAGGAACCCACTCGGTGCGGATCTTATTCCATCGCGTGTGGTGGGTCTCGGGCCACCCAGATGGCTGCCTACGCTCCTCGCCGACACGTGTGTCGCACGCGTAACACAGCCGGAACGAGGGCGGGGGGGGGGGGGGGGGAGGGGACACAGCTGGTCGCCTGGCGTGGGGCTCGTCACAGACCTGTCATACACTATCGGACATGCAGTGTGCTATTGCGTCACAGCGCACCACCATGTGCCTTCGCCAGCTGGATCGGCGTGTGCGCAGAGATGGACACTGTCAGATGTCATGTACGACGCTGGAAACATTAAAATTAGGATAACTCGTTGTTTTTTGTGTTCTTGTTTTAATTTTGATGTAAATCAAAGCGATGGTAATAGATATGTCATCCCGTGTTTAACATATCTGCTTAGTTGGGAAAAAAAGAACAAAAAGCTATGTTCATAAATCTTATCAAACTGTCATCGTCTGTTTATTATTTTAGCTTTATTTGAGAGACACACAAATGCACTGTGTTTCCATTCATTGGTTCATTCAAAAGCGACTATAATTCATTGTTCTCTCACTGAATATTTAGAACGTATGCCGAGCCTTTTCAATGAATTATGAATCTGAACATCTCTGAATGTAGCCTCTGTCGAGAGGCGTCACTGGAGACCGCGGCTGAGCTCTGAATTACGTCAGGTGATCGGCTCTTCTCAGTCCAGGACCAGGCGACCCCTCCGTATAAGGAGGCACTGTCTGTTACAGTCAGTCTGCACGCTCTGTCCTTTCGTCTCATCTTTCCACTCTGCTGTCTTTTCAATGTCTGCCTCCTTAAGTGTCATGTTTGTGTGTATTGTGTATTCCATCGTTCCGTGTTTGCGTCCGTGTTTCCTTTCCGTGGCTCTCAGTCCCGTCTGATGCCCCTTGGTATTACACAATGTCATAATACCCTAGCCTGCACTCGTTGCAGTGCAGTCGTTGCGTCTGTCTCGTGTCTATGCTGACCCAGA